CTCCCTCCACAACATTTTTGCCCACTTTAGCATTGAAATCCCCAACCTCCATTACTCTCACACTTGGTTTAAAACTCCCCATGCATTCACTCAACATTTCCCAAAATCTCTCTCTCTCTCCTCTACACTTCTCTCTTCTCCAGGTGCATACACGCTTACTACAACCCACTTTTCACATCCAACCTTTATTTTATTCCACATAATCCTTGAATTAATACATTTATAGTCCCTCTTTTCCTGCCATAACTTATCCTTCAACATTATTGCTACAAAGTGATTGTTGGTGTTGATGTTACAACTTGGCCAGTAGAATTCCTCCTTCTTTAGCTCTAACTCTATTTGAAACCCCTGACCTAATCCCATTGATTCCTCTCCACTGAAACTCTCCCACCCCCATCAGCTTTGTTTCACTTAAAGCCAGGACATCCAGCTTCTCATTCATAACATCCACAATCATCTCTTTGCACAACATCCACACACATTCAGACTTCCCACTTTGACAATTTTCTTCTTGTTCTTTTTAGTAATTATTACAGGAAAAGGGGTTACTAGCCCATTGTTCCCGGCATTTTAGTTGACTTTTACAACATGCATGGCTTACGAAGGAAAGATTCTTATTCCACTTCCCCATGGATATAAAAGGAAAAGTAATAAGACCAAGAACTATTAAGATAAAACCAAAGAAAACTCAGATGAGCGTGTATAAATAAACATGTACATGTATGTTTAGTGTGACCTAAGTGTAAGTTGAAGTAGCAAGACGTACCTGTAATCTTGCATATTTATGAAACAGACAAAAAACACCAGCAATCCTACCATCATGTAAAACAATTACAGGCTTTCGTTTCACACTCACTTGGCAGGACGGAAGTATCCCCCTTGGTGATTGCATACATGTGTACGATACATAAGCAGGAGGAGTTGATTAGGCTATAGCAATAGCCAAGGGCTGTAGTAATTTAATTTCAGCGATAAAGTGTAGCATTAAGAGTGTAGCAAGTGGCCTGTCTTTTCCACCCTCCACTTCCGCCAGCATCTATTTCCCAAGGTAAATACGTACACTATAAAAGCAGTTTATTTCTTTACATTCTCTATTATGTTTTTATACAATATTTCTTATTTATAAATACATTGTTTCAGTGTTTTCCTTATGAAACTAGTGCAATTAGTCTCACCAACACTCCGTTTGTCATATTAGATCAATTGTGATAGATAAATAAGCCGCAGAGTTGATATTAGTGTTATATTGAAGTATTTTCTTCTGCCTCCCGAGAGCAGGAATTCCGCTGGAACGGATGAATGGCATTTCAGTTAATTTCAGTGAGGAAAATTTATTTGAGTTATGAGCTAGGTCACGGAATGGATTAAACTCGTAATTCTAAGTACCACTGTATCTGGATGTGTACAATACAATTTTCACTCCGTGCACATAGCTGCATTTTTTCTTCTCCTCACCCCGTCTCTTCTCTTCATATTTTTCATAGCATCCAATTGAAATATAGGTAAACCAAGGAAGAAAATTAAATGGGAAGCTATGCCTATTTTGAATGAACTGGAGGTAACCAAGATGCTGAAGAATGATGTGCACACTAGAGACAGTACAAGTGTTTGGTGCTAAAGAATCAAAAATTTATTCAGTTTGAGCCACAGAGGCAAAGGTAAGGGCTTGTGCAATGAGTAATTCTCAGTGTGACAGTGAAAAGAATGAATAATAGGTCATTGCAGTTGAATAAAGCAGTTTACTAAATGTGTGTATTGAAAAACAAAAAGGTGTTCTCCTTCATATCCTTATTAGGGAAAAAGCCTTTATTTAATTTTTTTTAATGACACATTGGCCGTTTCCAACCAAGGCAAGGTGACGCGAAATAGAAGAAGCACTTTCAGCATCTTTCACTCCATCAGTGTCTTGCCAGAGGTGCATCTACATTACAGTTAAAAAACCAATATCAACATCCATCCTTCAGAGAGCAGGGACTATACTTCCCACCTCCAGGGCTCGAGTCCGGCTTGCCGGTTTCTCTGAATAACTTCATATGTGTACGCTACTTACACACTAACAGCATGTCAAGTCATAAAAACCATTTGTCTTCACTCGCTCCTATCTAACACGCTTGCGCACATCTGCTGGAAGTCCAAGTCCCCTCGCACACTAAACCTCCTTTACCCCTTCCCTCCAACCTATCTTAGGCTGACTCCTACCCTGCCTTCCACTACAGATTTATATGCTTTCCAAGCCATTTTATTTTGTTTCAACCTCTCTACATGTCCGAACCACCTCAACCCCTCCTCAGCCCTCTGGATGGTACTTGGAGTAACCCCACACCTCCTAACTTCCAAACTACAGATTCTCTGCATTACATTCACACCACACATTGCCCTCAAACACAACATCTCCACTGACTCCAGTCTTCTTGTTGCAACATTCACCACCCATGCTTCACACCCATATAAAAGCATTGGTGTAACTATACTCTCATACACTCCCCTCTTAGCTTCCATGGATAACGTTCTTTGTCTCCACAGACTCCTGAGTGCTCCGCTCGCCTTTTTCCCTATCAATTCTATGACTCGCCTAACCTTTCATAGAACTGTCTGCTGACAAGTCCACTCCAAAAAATCTGAATACATTCACTTCATCCATATTCCCTCCCTCCAATCTTCTTATACTATAAAACAATGTGTGAGGAGGAAGGACAGCCCAAAAATGAATGCAGACTTAGTTATGGATGGTTTAACAGGTTTAGAATGAGTGGGTCACATCAAATAAAGTTCAGTGAAGAGTGCCTCTGCCAACCATGCTGCCTCAGAAAAGTTCCTAGCAGAGCTAACTAACATTGTCTCTGAAGGTGACTACAAACTTGATCAGGTATTTAATGTTGATGAAACAGGCTTGCTCTGGAAGATGCCATCTAGAACATACATCAGCAAGCCAGAAAACTACTACTGAATTTGTCACCGAAGACCATTTCAGCTTGCTTCTTTGCGATAGTGCATCAGACCAAGTGTACATGGGCTCTTATTTGGAAGCTGAATACCAGAATATAGGTGATTGAGGCCTACTTCACTGAGTGCTTGAAGCCTCACTATAGGTATTCCTGAAGTGAGGATGTTCCTGTCCCTGAAAAATCTTGCATTCAGGTTTTTTTTTTTTATCACACTGGCCATATCCCACTGAGACAGGGTGACTTAAAAAGAAAAACAAAAGTTTTTAGTTTTAAATTTAGTAATGTATACTGGAGAAGGGGTTACTAGCCCCTTGCACTCTGCATTTTAGTTGCCTCTTACAACACACATAACATACAGAGGAAGAATTCTGTTCCACTTACCCATGGAGATGAGAGGAAATAAACAAGAACAAGAATTAGTGGTGCTTATGTTGGACCTTATGCTATTTCTCATCCTCGTAGCAGACATAGATATAACACCTGTCACACTTTTGTATCATCATTTGCAGATGACACTAAAATAAGCTTTTAAGTCACTATGGTAGAGGACACTGAAAAATTACAGGAAGACATAAGCAGGGCTTTCCAGTGGGCAATGGAGAACAACATGACATTCAGTGGTGATAAGTTCCAGCTGCTTAGGTATGGAAAGAATGAAGAACTCAAAAGGACCAATGTATACAAAACTCAAGAGGGTCGCCAAATAGAACAAAAGGAACACGTAAAAGACTTGGGAATAATTATGTCAGCTGACTTCTTTTGAAGACCATAACAAGACAAAGATCACGACAGCCAGGAAGATGACGGGGTGGATATTGAGAACTTTCAAAACAAGGGAAATAACGCCAGTGGTGACACTCTTCAAATCGCTAATGCTCCCTCATTTAGAATATTGCTTAGTGCTGACGGCCCCATTCAAAGCAGGAGAAATATCAGAGCTGGAACAAATGCAGAGATCGTTTACAGCCAGTAAAGCACCTAAATTACTGGGAACACCAAGTCTTGAACATGTACTCATTGGAGTGGATAAGAGAGAGAGAAATGATAATATATACTTGGAAAGTACTTGAAGGCCTTGTCCCAAGTCTGCACACTGCCATAACATACTGGAGTGAGAGATGGGAGGAAGGGCAAAATAAACCCAGTGAGTAGTAGGGGTGCAGTGGGGACAATAAGGGAACACTGTATCAACAGTTGGGATCCCAGGCTATTCAACATCTTACCAGAAGATATCAGAAACATGGCTGGAACAAGTGTAGAAGCCTTCAAGAGGAAACTGGACAAGTATCTTCACCAGGTGCCAGATCAACCAGGCTGTGATGGGTATATGGGGCAGTGGGCCTCCAGCAACAGCCTGGTTGACCAGGCAAGCACCAGACAAGCCTGGCCCATGGCCAGACTCCGAGAACCGTGAAACTCGAAACTCTTCAAAGGTAGCTTGGTTGATCAGGCCATCCACCAAGCCTGATCTGGGACCAGGCCACGGGTGCATTGACTACTGGAACACTATTCCTTTTTACCTCACACTCGTAAACTTGTTAATCAACTTATGTTGCTGCATTCTTTCTACATTTATCAAGTTACTTTGATAATCCTCTTAGTTATTGCATTATGCATTTTTCCATTTTTGAATATTTATTAATGATAAAAGAAACTATGCATTTTTCAGTTTATAAGCTGAATAAAACCAGTTAACTTAGTATACAAGAAACCCTCCACATACCACATAACATAGTTCAGAAATATGGAACAAAATCTATTGGATCAGTCGGTTTAGAAACAGTAGACACTTATGATTACAGAATTGTCCACTAATGTTAGAAACAGAAAAACAAACCACCTCTGCCCACCACAGTTACCATTACCAGTCATTCACTCCCCCCATTAGTCTGTTATATGGAGAGTTTAAATTTCAGTGTCACAAGCCCATGGTAATTTGACTTCTGTACAGAAATTATCAAGAGTAGAAGTTGTCACTCAGTGGCCACAGATTGTTACCTTACTCTTTCATGATCAGTCCATATTTATTTGTTAAATTTTGTACTCTTTCTACAGCACGGCTCTGTCTCAGTCTCGTCAGCCATTGGATGGCATGTCGTTTGTCATTGTTGGCAGCCATTTCAGTAAAGACAAAAATGCTATGAAAAATAAAATAAAAGAATTGGGTGGAAAAGTAACTACAAAAGTCGATAAAACTACTACAGCTGTTATAACTACAAAAGGTCAGTGGTTTGTCTTGAGCATGAGTGTTTGACAAACGAATTAAAATTTACCAAGAATGTGCTCAGCTTTTGCTTTAAATACTGATAATGTTTGAATTAAAATTGTTGCCCATTTAATTACAGTGGACCCCCGGTTAACGATATTTTTTCACTCCAGAAGTATGTTCAGGTGCCAGTACTGACAGAATTTGTTCCCATAAGGAATATTGTGAAGTAGATTAGTCCATTTCAGACCCCCAAACATACACGTACAAACGCACTTACATAAATACACTTACATAATTGGTCGCATTCGGAGGTGATCGTTATGCGGGGGTCCACTGTATTTAATTAAGTTATTTAATATTAATATTTATTAATTTTGTGCCATTTAATGGGTAATGATAAGACAAATCTATTGATTTTAGGCAATAGTTTCATTTCCAAGAATTTCTTGAAAATACTGAAATACTGTTTAGTTTAGTAGAAATTCATGTGGCAGGTGAATAAGTTAAACAAGAACTTTGTTTTCCACAATTCTATGATCCTGGATCTTCCAAGGAAAGAAATAAAATCCTTCGAATTCAATGCCATTTTTTTCTATTAACCCTTAAACGGTCAAAATGTATATATACGTTCTTATGTGTAGCGCCCCAAACGTATGTATACGTTTTTTTTCCTGCCTTCAAATTTGGCACGATTGGCCTGAGATGCCTTGTCAGCATAGAATGGGTCCTAACACTCAGTGTGCGTGGTATTAAAAAAATCTGGGACCACTTAGTACCTTGTGGGAGCGCCAGTTAAATTGAGCGCCAGCTAGAGCAAACAGTGTGGCAAACACCAAGGATTCACTGATGTAATGTCATATTAGCACTCCTCTTTTAAGAGGAAAGTGATGGTAACCCCAAGTTTAGGGTCTGTCTATCTGTGTCTGTCTTTGTCTATCTGTCTCTGTATCTCTTTCTATCTGTTTGTCTATCTCTGTCTCACAGGTACACATAAATACAAGTATACATAGTGTAAATTACCTAGGATAACCCAAAAAAATCCAGACAAAGTGCTATACTCTGCTTGAAGATGAGTAAACGTGATGATGGTGCAGTCTTGTTGCGCTCTCTGAGACAGAGAGTTAGACAGATAGACAGGGAGCTTGACAGACAGACAAATAGACAGACAGACATGTTTGTGTACCAGCGAAAACAAAGTGAGGGCGATGCTCGTCAATATCACCTCTAATCTTTTCTTATCACTTCACCCTCCCTACCTCCCCCACCCTCGTGTATGCTCATCAAACGTCAGCTCTTATCAGTTGTCTTATCATGTCACTGTCAGGGGTGGACTTTGTTTTTCATGCTTCAAGGGAACTTATTATTACCTGTTATTACTACGTATTACAGTGGACCCTCGCCTAACGCTATTAATCATAATCCGTTCATGAGAATCTCAAACGATAGGCGAATTATTGTAGCTTAATTAATTTTCCCCATAAGAAATAATGGAAATCAAATTAATCCTGACACCCCAAAGTATGAACAAAAAAAAAAATTTTACCACATGAAATATTAATTTTAATACACACAAACTGAAGAAGACATGCTCAGTTACATGACACTTACCTTTATTGAAGATCTGGTGATGACTGAATGGGATGGGAGGTAGGGGAGACTGTGGATGGTGGTTAATGTTTTAGAAGGGGGAAATCCCCTTCCATTAGGACTTGAGGTGGCAAGTCCTTTTCCGTGGTTACTTCCCTTCTTATTTTAAATGCCAACTAGGACCATCTTGAGAGTCACTGGACTCTGTCGCACAACATATCTGTCCATAGAGGCCTTGTACCATCCCGTTCCTTTATGACATACCTAAAGAGTTTCACATCATGTCAGTGTAAGTAGTCACCAGCACGGCTTGCAATAGCTGTGTGAGGGTGATTTTCACATCAAAAATGGTTTTGTCACTTTAAGCCACATTGCACACACTTCCTTAATATTTGAAGTAGACAACTTCTTCAATTTCTCTATCCCTCCTCCAGAGCCAGTTTTCCCTCAGGTCTAGGCCTCTTGCTGTTGAAGATGATCCAGCAGCCGCTCATCAGTGGTTATTTCGTCTTGTCCCCCTCCACCAACCTTTCCACATCCTCCCCACTAACCTCCAACCCCCCAAGGACTTCCCCAATGCCACAATGGATTCCTCAACTGGCATAGGATTTCCAGTTAGCATCAAACCCTTCAAATCCCTTTTTTGTCTACACATTCTGGCCACAGTTTCTTCCAAGCAGGTTCAAGGTCCTCTAGTCAACTCCTCCCAGCCTTACCTATAATTTTACAGAATTGAGGATGCTAAAGGATCTCTCCAAAACTCTTATTAGTGTCAATTGAGTTTCTGAGGTCACTACAAAAGCACCTTTCAAACATAGCTTTTGTGTACAGTTTCTTGAAGTAGGAAATGACCTGCTGGTCCATGGGCTGCAGGAAGGAGTGGTATTAGGAGGCAAAAAAACTTGACCTGTAACCCTTTTGACTTGTTTTCAGGCCCTCTCTGAAACTTCATTGGTATGTCGCCAAATATTTCGAAAAAAAAAATTTATTTTTTTCTTATGAAAATGTTAGGGAATATTTTACTAGTGTTTTAAGCCTAAAAAAAAATTTTGCATCATACTACCGAGATATAGAGCCCGCAAAGTTTGCGAAATCGACGTGCGTATGGCAACCAGCGGCGACTTGCGCCGCCCCACGCCCGGTATTCTTTTATTTACTCTATATTCAAAGGTTTCCTTGCATTTTCAATATTTTCTTTCAGGTAACTTATGTGGTCTGTGAGCACCCAATGTAAGGAGCATTTTCAAAATATACACTCATTATTTACAAACACAATAACAGAACAAACTTTATCACTATTAGTTTGTGAATACAATTTGTTTACACAAACAAACAATACCAAAACAATGTTTATTATTACATTGTTCCATAATAATAAATACATATGTCCAGTCACCTCAAGCACGTTCCAAGAAACTGCTGCACTTGTGGACTCTTCGAAATCATGGGTATATGCAGAGGGGCACTTCACACATCCTCATCACATCAAACGAGTGTCTCTGCGTGTTTGTGGGCGTTTTGGTGGATGCATACATACATAACACCTCTTCTGAGCATTTTTTCTTGGCAGTGTAGGGAGGCAGTTGTATGGGGTAGTGATCACCAGCCCAAACGAGATGACGTCAGTGGGCGCTGGTCTATTGCAGAGTTGCTCCTTTGTACTTTGCAATTATTTGTCTGATTTACTGACAGGCAAAATTCACCATATTTTGGTGTTTTGTTTGGTCTTCACTTGTATATGTTATAAGCATTTAGCATAGAGTAATCAACAAAACAAAGAGAAGTGGGAAAAAAAAAAGCAATATACAGAAAAAGTCAGAATACCAAATCCCAACGAACCCGATGCCTTGCGCCGCCATCCCGGTCCCCCACCTGCCCCCGGAGCCTCGCTGCCACGCGGCGCCGCGGCCTCGGCCCCACCCTCCCCCCTCGCCCCGCCGGGGCGTGGTGATCCCCGTCGCCGGGGCTCAGGTCTCCCTGGTCTTCCCGCCCGCGTCGCCTCCCCGCGCTCCAGCGCCCCCTTCTCCCTTTCTGCCCCACGCGATCTTTCCGCCTCCTCCCCTCCCGGCATCAACGGGCTCCCCCCCTCTCCGCTCCCCTCCATCGCCCGCGCCATCGAGCGCCCGCCCCCCTCGCATCCCGTGCCGAGCTCCCCTCTTGGCTAAAGCGGCCCCGTGCCTCCGGCCCCTGGCGCTGCCTGAGAATTACAAAAAGTATGATATCCCACATATAACTCATGCGTACACAGTCCAGCCAACCCCTCTGCAGCATGACACATTTGACCACTACGGCATATTGAGGTGTAGTCCATGACAGCTGCATGTTTAGAAAGGGTTCATTGGTCTCTCTGTTGTCCCTGCCACTGGGTACCATTTCGTTTGTGTTAACTTGATAGTCAACAATGTGACGATCACGTTTGCCATGCCACCGAAATGCCATGATGTCATTGGCAGCAAAGGCTTGCACCTCACCTCTGCCAGTGCCAGCGTCCGAACCTTGGCATATGGACTGCGATTTACCAAGCACTGGCCCACACACGTCTGTCAAGTTCACTCCAAGAATCACTGATTAAGGTGGCTTGTGTACCAGTTATCATGAAATAACATATTCCCCTTACCAAGATATGTTTCCATCATTGTTCAACCACATCACCAGAGATACCCAATAACTTCATGGTATCTCCTCAAAGTATTACTTGCCCAGTTACACATAATATCTAAAACAAGACCACTCCTGCAATCAACTACAGTACAAATAGCTTTATACCAAAGCGTTTCCCTCTTGCTGGTATATATTGCTTGAATGAGAAGTCATCCTTTGAATAATTTCCAGGACCTTCATCAATAACAAGCTTCCTGAAAGGGATAAAAAAACAAGCACACTTTTGTTCAGGTACATAAAACACATTTCTTATCTATAAACCTTCGCTTTTCTTGTCAGGGCCTGGTTTTGTCTGAAAAGTGGTAACATACGCAACAGTATCAGAAACGATTGACACCTATAATGTCACTAAAACCTGGAGTTGAAAATCAGGCGATCTGTTGTCCAGTATGTGGTGACAGTGTGCCTATAACCATGTGGCATAAGCCATTATTGTGCAGAAAACAGTACATCTCTGCCACAGTTGTCTTCCTTCCACTTGTGTAGCCGTGATTTTGGGTGAGAAGAAATTAGTTATTTACCATGGTGTATTCCACCGTATGTGTTGGTTTCCTGACAATGATGTTCCATCAGGGGTTCATCGAAGAATAAACTAAAGCAGTCCCCAGTTCACTGGCATTGTTCCCAAGTGGACAAGAGGCTTTATTCCACTTGGTGTTTCATCCAAAGTCATGGGGACTGGAAAACTCTTCACCGTCCTGCCAATCCCAGATGCGGTCTGCTGGTGTGGCTGATATTGTACCGTGGGTGGCTGTGCAGGTTGTG